AAAACTCCCGAGCGCTCACAAAGAGCAGTGCCGTGACAAAACGGTGCTAGAACGGCACGTGCCTTCGAGCGCCATCTTACGCGTGCGCATAACATGGACCCATGGACCTAACAAGAATTAATAAGGGTGCGCAGAAGCCAGAGCCAAACTTCGAGTTGACTTGAGCGACAGTTGCGGAAAAAGTAGGAAACTGCGGAACAAGGCTAGAATTAGGCTAGCGTGATTTTTTTTCCAGGATATTGAAGCAAAGAAGCAATATTTTCTAATAATTCTGGTTTTAATATAATCGTTACACTTTGTCGCATGCGACTCCAAGGCCTGAAATTTTCCTATTTCGCCATTGAAACTTTATAAACAATAAAAGTACGTTTGCTATCTTCATTTTATTGTTTATAAAGTTTCAAGGGCGAAATAGGAAGTGTAACGAATAAATTAAAACCAGAATTATTAGAAAATATCGCTTCTTTGCTTCAATATCCTGGAAAAAATATCATGCTAGCCTAATCGCCCTGTCCTCGTCTCTCCTGCAATTATCGTATCGCCCTCTCTGTCCTTGTCCCGCAGTTTCCTACTTTTTCCGCAACTGTCGCTCAAGTTTAGGTCTGTCAAAGTAAAGTACAACCCAACGTTACATCTGACAAAATTTCGTAAGTTCGGACGGACGCGCGCGTATCGTTTATCGTTGTTTTCCAGACAGATAATCGGTCGACCGCTTTTTCTTGCTAGACTCTCCAAGGTCTGCATGATACGTACGCTCCCGGGATAAGAGAGAAAAAAAAAATCCACTGAATAATTACACGATTACACAACTATCCCGTGCGCCTAGTCTAACAATCTCGACTTGTCAATTAATGGGGGTCTTCTTTGTCAGGCAAGGTTCAAGGGAGGAGCTTATCGAAGGGAAAATTACGCCACTGGAGCACAGTAACTAATTTTAATAACGTAAGCCAAGAACTTTGTACATAAGGGTGATTTATGGTAATTTTTGCTGTAGTTTTATAGGTTAACTGCGGTGACAAATGCAAAAATTAAGAATAACGTAATAAGGATTATGTAATTTTCTGATAGATCCATTTAAAATGATATGCAATCAAATTTTTCTTATTTACATCACTGCAAATTTTACTCTTTTATGTTAAAAAAGCTTCGTTTGTGTTCAACATTTTTATGATTTTAATCTTTGCGATTATTTTTAATAAAATGTCTGTTATTGGACGTTTTACGTGCATTCCTGGTCAGGGACGCAACGGACCAATGAGATTCTATCGCAATTGTTGCATTGTTTACCCAAGTGTCCCGTCTCATATTACGAACATTTACAACAGTGGCTTACAGATGCACAGCAATCGTTTTCCGCATAGTTTGCGAGAATTTTGTATGAAATTATAGTTTTGCGTTGGATGAATGACTAAGGAAGTTTTCGAGTGGTAGAATAATATCGAACGAGTGGTTTTTGATTTTAATAAAGGAAACAGATTCGAAGATATTTTTATCGATGCTAGTCGTACCTCTAGATAACAGATGGCGCGCTGCGTACATGGTGGATGATGGATGATATCTGGTCCAATTAGTTGATGTTTTCCACGCATACGCATTCGCAAAGAAACTTCAACATTAAATTCTTATTTTACATTTTGAATAAATACAAATAAATAAATGTGTTATTTCTATGCAATGTATAAATTAATACGTAAAGTATCTTGGTGAATGTTACAGGCCCTAACCTCTCATTTCATGTGCATTATTACGATCAAAAAAGGGTTAATTATTAATATTTATTTTAATTTTGTTATTTATAGTATAAATATTAATATCTATTTAATATTAATATTATTATTTTTGTTATACATTCTTTTTGATCGTAGAACTGATAATCACAAATTACGTGATTTATGTTTATACAGTCTCGTTGCAATCTATCATTTGCCTTTCATAAAACATTTCTAAAAAGGAAAGTGCCCCGTTAGATTCACCCATCGAATATGTACATAGATAGATGAGCCCTCAATTAAAGAGAGCGTTGTACTTTCTCCCAGTTGCGATCGACTGGGAAATTATTTTGAAGCTCATCGTTCCATCGATCTCTCGATAATCGTCGTAAGCCGGTGGAACGCTTGCATGAAAACAAATGCGACGAAATTCTACGAGCGGATGTGTCGATATCATCGCGATAAAGCAATCGTAAGACGGAAGTTAGGAAATCGATCGATCGATATCAAGAGTTCAATTGTAATTTGATAGAATCGAATAAATAATATTTGATTAATGATCACGTAAAGCAAAAGAAAGCTTCGCGTATAAAAATTTCTGCGCTAATTGCAGAACCAGTATATTTGTTTTACACTTGTACGTGGTTGGAAAAGCTTAAGGGTGCGCAGAAGCCAGAGCCAAACTTCGAGTTGACTTGAGCGATCGCTGCGGAAAAAGTAGGAAACTCCGGGACAAGGACAGAGAGGGCGATACGATAATTGCAGGAGAGACGAGGACAGGGCGATTAGGATATTGAAGCAAAGAAGCAATATTTTCTAATAATTCTGGTTTTAGTACATTCGTTACGCTTCGGCGGATGCGACTCCAAGGCCTGAAATTGTCCAATTTCGCCCTCGAAACTTTATAAATAGTAAAATGAAGATAGCAAACGTACTTTTTTTATTGAAATTATTTCGTACCAAGTGACGTCAGATGTCGAGGAAAACGTGCTTGTGCCGCAAGAAGAGAAAGATTACAGCACGTTTCATTGGTTATCGCGTGCGTCTCGATGAATGCTTTTGTAACCGTACATCGCGGAGGATCGTGTATCCACTTCCAGCACTTTCGCTTTGTACGCAAATCCGGTTGCGGTCTTTTCGCCCCGACGCTGACGGTTACACGGCCGACTAGGAAGTGAACAATCTCGTCCGCTGGCCTGCGCCAGCCGACTTCCTTCCTGCGCGCGCATCACTTTTCACCGGAGTCTCCGAGGAGCCCGCGGAAACTTACATTCGATATCAACGATGAATGTCGGATAAGCGAACGAAAAAAAAAAAAACAAGCGAACGAACGTTGTGTACAATTTCCTGTATTCTTCGCCTTCAACGTTTCTAAACTCCCAACGGTATAATTATCATACGCAAATACAAAATATTCACGGCTTAAATATTTTCTCTATCCGTTTCCCAGCGTTATTCTTGCTTTCCGTTAATTATTCGTGTTCGAACATCGAGATTACGTTGGTAACTTTGTCTTTATATTTTTCAAGGCTGACGGGAATCGAACCGTGGACCATAGTGATCGTAGTTGCTCGCTATTTTTTTTTTTTTTCTTTTTTAATAACATTCTCCCCATTTTACATCTCTCTATCGAACGTTGCGGAAAACTTGTGTTCGCAATTTCGGGAACGTTGTCATGTTGCACAACTTTCGTTTAAGCAATTTTGTTCGAAGGGATATTTTCACCCTTACGAGATGTATTCGTCTCGGTCGCTGCGAAAGGGCTAGATTGTGGGTCACAGGTTGTGCTAGGTTAGACCGCAATGATTTCACGAACGATCGCGACAAAAGTTGGTCGATTCGCGAGACAAAGAGAGAAAGTACGAAATCGCGGAAGCGAACGGCTACGCTGTGACCTCTTGAGATAGAGTGACGCAACGCGTGACCTTTGTGTTTGATGGAACCGCGACGATCATCGTCTAACTTCGTGAAAACAGTTGGGGTTGCAATCATGCGGTGAACACGACGAGACACGATCGAACTTTCCTCGAGGGGCTTTCGTGAAAGCTCTCTCTCTCTTAAGAACTAGACGTCTGTGAGATCGAAGACGTTTGTCGTATTCGAAACAAACGTAGCGAAATACAATTACGATTGTTGCCGTGGGTTCGAAACACGGGGTAAAAATGTAGACAGTCGTTGATATATTTTATCACCGTTATATTTAAAACGAATAAATTAAAAAGATATAAATTTTTATAGATTGGTTTCGCAACTGTTTTATCGCGAAACAAAATGTTCATTTAAATTACGTAAATACCAAGCAATAATAATTTTATTGTATTCCACGACAAAACGGTTGCGAAACCAATCTATAAAATTCTGTTTTTCTTTTTTTTTTATGGTATAATTTCGTTACAATCTTCACGGAACAAAGTAACGTAAATCGAAAATAAAGCCGAGCTACGCAGCGTCCGAGTGCTGGCACGAAGAACTTGTGATTATCGCACTAAAGAAATGAGAAAATTCGATTGTTCGAGCGTGATCCTTCAAGCTGTGCCAATTAGTGCATTTTTAATGGTCATAATCATCGTCGTTAGTAATTCACGCCGCGGCCTGTATATTTTTTATTTCGCACCGGAATGTAAATCGCGCAGAAACAGCCATTTTCGAGATTTGCATAACCACAATTAGCGCTTAGCGTGGCGTAACAGCGGCCCACAAAACAGAACGAAGAAACACGGAAACTGTCGAGCCTGTAATTATGCTTGCATCGGATGATTGCATCTCTCCTAATGGCCGATTTCGGTCGTTTAACGAACATTTATACTCCATGTTTACTAATACTTTTATCTTAAAGATTCTACGATTCGTTAATTAATTTTAAATAATTTTATTTTCATTATAATTTTATTTTCATTATAAATTAATTTTCATTAATTTAATTTAACGACAATTTAAAGGTTAATCGTTAGAGACGATTCGTTAATCCTCACTACCAATAACTCGTGACCCATTAACCGTGATGACTGATACTAATTATTAATCGCGACCATTGATTACTCATTCGCTCCGATTACTCCGTCATCCATTGATCGCGATTATCTCGACCAAGCATTAATCGTGGATTACGTTTCGTCCAACGCTAAGCAACGCAACCCCGAACGGTTGGACGCTTATTCGAGTTCGCTATACCTCGTCCAACAATTGTACGTGGCCAGCAACTGTATCAACAACGCGATGCGGTCATCGACGAAGTTTTAATCGATGAGCGAACAGTGGCTGACATCGATCGACGCGATAAATCGCCCGGGTCTCCGAAACGATCTATCGCGAAGCAGAAACGATCGACGCGGTAAATCGTGTCGGACCGAACCGTCTTCTTCTCTATCCATCGATCGCTACGAGGCTACGCTTACGTAACCGCGAACGCGAGCGCGCTTTCAAGCGACGGAAATAACAGAAGAAGCGTTTGGAAAGTCTACGGACGCGTGTCGTCGTGGAAGGTTAGGCGGTTTAGTCCACGCTTGTAACACAGAACGTCGGGGCACGTTCGTAACTCATCCGCCCGCGACCGTAACTCGTAACGTTCCCGCGCGTTGTCGGTGGCTACAACTAAGGAAAGCCCGCCAACGATTTCATTCGTTTCAATTAACCCTTTGTACTCGGGCCCTTTCTTTACTGGTATCTAACCAGCAAATCGAGATGCTTCGTAAGCGTTCTATTGCCAGAAATGCTAAAGCTTAGGTCGACTTCCAACATGAGATCTCTAATTTGAGATTCGAAAATCGGATCACCCCTTCGACAATTATTTCATCGACACCTCGAGTTCTAATGAAACGAAACTCACAGAAATATTGTTTCTGGTTGATTTACTGCGTCACACCTGGCGGTGACCGAGAGTCTGCCTCTCGAGCGCAAAGAGTGAGAAACTTTGCAGGCTTGAAGGACATCAAAAAATACTAAGTACGCAGTTCTTTTTCTAGCTGCGATAATTCAAATTTGAGGGACGAAAACACCCTACGAAGTTCGGACCCTAAAATTCTAACTCGCGGATGGTTAGAGATGAAAGAAGAAAGTTTGTACAAAAATTTGATAGTTTTTGGCACGTTACAGGAAAATGTTTGACCTCTTTGTATACTTTTAACCGCTTGAGGGACGATTCTAACGTAACTTTTATCTGTAAATGTCGATTTTAACGCACGAATACGTTGTCACGCTTTAATATGATATATTTGTCAACTCTACAAAGTTTTGCGATCGTGAGTAATTTTGATTTAAAAAAAAATAAAAATAAAAATAAAAATTAAAATATAAAAAAAACATGTACAATATAAACAAACGTGTCAATATCCCTCGGGAGGTTAACGGAATTCACACGTGGAAACCTGGCTTCACGTAAAAAGCACCGTCGCAATAGGACGAACTAATTCAGTCGTGCTATTTCTTTGCCACGAAAGCCCGCGGGTGTAACGCAACATCGCAACGACCAGCCCCGAACGCTTCCAGTCCAAGTTCTGTTTCTTTAAGTATTCCAAGGTTCCTTCAACCGTGTCATATTACAATTGTTTTTTTTTCTTTTACCAGTACACGTTACCGATGTCCCGTCTACGCTGCTCGTAAACAGTGTTCCGTTACAAGCGCAGACCTGCCATTTCGGGCAGTCGTTCTATCGAATTGTCGGCCAAGGCTCGACGCAAGGATATTCGAACGAACCCGATTGAAGACGTTGGACATTTTCCTCGCGAGCAGTGCTCTAAAATCGGCTTACTTTGCACCTACGACGTATCTTTGCCCGGGGAACCCGAACAAAATTAATTAATCCATCTCTCGGCTACGTCTGACAAGAAGAGGTCACCGAGCGTGACATTGCCTTCTTGATCAGCTTTTGCTTTGCGGTAGATAAATACAAAACTAAAGCTAGTGGTATACAGCTTTTGAGGGCGAACAGTTTATAGTTTATAAGATGCAAAGGGTAATGAAAAAATCAACGTCACCCTTGGGGACCTGTTGTGAGTTAGGTCTGGGTGAGGAGCGATTTAGATGGGAAAACGAGCAGGTGAAAACAGTTTATAACGGTAACGTTTGTAACAGGCGTCGTGTAAAATCGTTTATTTATTCATTCGTATCGATAATTAACGGGTTCGCTATGTCCAATCGGAACATCTTGAATTGGACGTAGCAAAAGTAATTATACATGATATCGTGTACAAAATCAATTAATCCTAATATCAGAATGCAATACTATGTACAGACCTGGAGATATATATATATATATAAAATAACATCGTTTTAAACATCATTTCGAGTAACGCGTTATTTTACTTCATAATTATTTGAAATAATTGCGTAACTGTTCTCCTCTTTGTCATCCAAATTTAATAAGAAATAAACACGTTAGCATTTTGTCGAAATAAAATTGATCGGTATTAAGAAACGTTTTCCTAAAGTATTACTCTCTAGTGAAAGAATTTTACCCAAAGTTGCCGTAAATATTACGTAAAATAAATTCCTATCGTTGCACATTATCACGCGGATGATTTCTTTCGTCAAATTCGAAACACAAAAATAACCAAACATCGAGGTAGCTGTTATTTATACATTCGAATAACAATATCGAAAGCAACCGACCGAGACAAATTATTTCAAATAGTTATTTCACATTTTAATTTCGCTTAGAATACGCCCAGGTCTGACCGTGTACAATTTAGTTTCGACTTTCATTGATCCATCCGCGATGGACTTCGATGGAAGGATACCAAATAGGTGCAAAGTAACTCCTATTTTACGGTATCGCTTTCTTTTACGCATCGTCGATTTCGTATCGGCGCTCGTATTGTTTTGATCGTCGAGGACAAAGGGGACGACGTCTTACCCGGTGTCTCTGTTTACATACGGAGAAGAGGGGAACGGAAAAAAAAAAAAAAGGGTGTGCGGACGGACGAAACAAGGGAGTTCGTTACACGCCTCGCGCCGTCGCAGGATTCGTGTCGCTGGCGCTTCTCGCATTGTTTCGTCTCAGGGACGTTCTGACTCGCGGGGGTTTCGCTTTACAATGAATTACGATTCTTTTTCCGTCCCTCTTTTATTTCGATGCCATTGAGAGATGCCACCGAAGGAGACTCTCGGCACGCTTATTTTTTTTTTTTTTTTCAGTCCAAACCACAATAGTAACGAAATGACGACGGTACACAGGTTTCTGCGTGACACAGACTATTCGAATATTTCATCCGGAGTGTACCTAAACGAGGCTGCCCCAAGGCTGATGATTCATCAAGAAACTTCATACGACGCGACGGTGAGAAAACGGAACGAAATGCTCGACGAGTCCCCGAACGAGGCGGTAGAAAAGTCGAACGAGTAACGCTGAAAATTTATTATACACCTCGAGGTGAGTCGAAGGTTGGAGTCCCACCGATCAAAATGATTAATACACAAAGCCCTCCCGGAGACTCGAACCCGCGGTTATTTCGAGACGCGTGCATTCTGAGAAACTCGACAATGGCGCTGTTCTTATCCTTCCAATTACGCAAACAAATCTTTTTAACCCTTTCGACCCGACCGGGCTGTATTACGTTCGAATTCGACTGGTTTCGCTTTTAGAAATTAATTGGTCTGAAGCTTGCGTCGCCTATGAATCGAAAGCCGTAGCTAGATAAAAAGAGACAGATTGCTTTAGCGGAAATGATGTTCATTTTCTTTTTTTTCTTTTTTTCTTTTTTTTTTTTAACATATTCCTGGAAATCTCAATCGTAATTCGGGAATTTCACACATTCTCTGGGACGTATATGTCCCGATAGGGTCGAAAGAGTTACAATTACAGTCAAACCTTCTTATAACACGGTGAAAAAATTATGACAGTACTCTTAGAACACCGTAACGGTTTCGTAAACGTTGGACGGAGTGTACCACGTTTGCTTTCTAACGAAGCGGACAGCGGATCTTTGTGCGAAATAAAATCTTTGAAAAAAAGAAAAAAGAAAAAAAAAAGCCTAGGAAAATGAAACCTAAACAGGAGTTCATTCAACTCTGTACGTATTATTATAAAATAAATTTTACTTTCGATACTTTTTTATGTCGCTGCATTTTGTTGTTTCCTTCGCATTAAAATCTCCTATAAACGCACAAAAATCCGCGGTCTACTAACAAGTACCTGACGTTGTTGCAATTCGTACTTCTATAGTTTTATACAATTTTCGAATAACCGTTTCACTTAATTTTTAGTTAAACGTTTAAATTCAAAAAATCATTAAAAACAGTTCGAATAAATTCCGTGGGTATTATTTTTAGGTTTCGTTCAAACTCTTTCTCGCATACATTATATTCGATGTCGATGCGACATGGTGTGGATACAACGGATTCCCGTTACTTGCGTTAGTTTACGATTTCGCTTGACGCATCTTCGACAGAGTCGTCTTTAAAGGTTTGCGAGGCTCTGGCATATCAATGCAGCAGGCCCCGTGTTAAATTTACTTCGTATCGCGGATTAAGAAGAAAAAAAAAAAAAAATAATTCAAGACCTAGCACAGGAGACAATGAGAAATATTAGCGACAATTGCGTTCAGCGTTGTACAAATTAGCATAGGGGCCCCCGAGTTTGCGTGCCAAGTTGTCCTAACGTGCCCTGTACGTTAACACGACGCGTGTCTTCGATGCTACACGGATTAACCGTGTTATAGGCGGATTGACTGTACAATTTTCGTTCGAAGAAAATGAAGAATACAAAAATGACCGTACCCTCGCATGAGCAGATCGTTCGAATCGATCTCAGGGACGGGCAAAATCTTACTCATTTATTCGCGATGGAACAGTTGGTTTCGCAGTTCTCGTTTTAATCGTAATTGTTCGAAATTTCTTATCTACGTTAAAAAAAATTGCATCTAACTAGAATTCCTCGGCTAGATGAAATGTTTGCCCATCTCTGCTCGGAACGTCCTCCGCGAAGGAGGATGCGCACAGGTACTTTGTCTCGCGATGCGTTTGAATAAATACTATGCTATTTACAAAGCGATGAATATATTGCTTTCGTATCGTGTGTTTTTTCTGATATGATTCGTATGCGGGCGAACGAATGAATAATTTTCTCGGATTCGAGGGTGAAACAAACTCGAGTTCCTCTCGTTCGATCGCAACGAGACAGAGAAACGTTAAAGGATATGTACAAGTCAAGATGGACGTGAACGCGAGAACGACCAGTGGCGTATCTAGAATCCCGCGCATCATCGATTTCCCAACGTTTCGAGAACCGACATCTCGAGAACCGACATTTCATTCCAAATTATTTCATTTAGCTCGCATTTAGACAAACGTAAATTCTGGAATAAATAACGAATATGGGAAAGCGTAGCGATCGTCTTAGTAAAAATATATGGTAAAAGAAATGTAATTCGACCTTATAAACATTGCTTCGCTGTTGGTTACTTTCTTTTGACATTTTTCTACGGTTACGTAAGATTTAGAGATTGCGAACGGGTCCGTGCCATCCATTTATTTATCTCAACTTTTCAATGGACGAACGCGCGAATACTGCTCCTAACCTAACCTCGATACTTCGGCACGGGGACCCTGGGATTACTAGTTACGTCGCTGGGAATGAGGCAATGTTTACGGGTAGTGTTTCGCTGGCGAGTAACGATATAAATAAAGAAAAATATAGAACGAGGAAAAATAAGGAGAAATGTAATCGTTGGCAGAGATAAAATTAAGTAAAAATTCAGCTCGATGCACGTATACCTCGATGTTGGCATCTCCATACCGCGCACGGTCATCCAACGTGGAAATACTAAGCTATTAGGTCGTCCTAAAAGTTCGTGCCATTTATACTTCTATTTCTCAAATTAATACGTTAAACATACTCTCGAGTGTCGCAAGAGAAGATAATCTGTCTCATTTCACAATAGTTTCTCACCTCTCTCACGTAGTCATTACACCGTTGCTAGAAAATTTCTGTGGTTTTTTATTGAATTTCGGACACAGTCTTCGCCACGAACTTATGGGACGGACCTGATATATTAATACTGGAACGGGCCCTAGGCTGGCGAAAAATGGGGCACATCGGTGGACAGTTTCGTCCGTTGTTGTATCCTTTCTAGAAACGAAGTAACGCGAGTGTCGAAATGTCGCTTTACAGGTCTACCTGTAAGTAGAACACTGTCTCACCGTTACGAAGAAAGGGGAAACCGCGGTACCCTCCTTATCTCTGTCTTTACGAATAGATAAATAATAAAATATTACAGTAAAGTAATTAATAGTTGAGTGAATCGAACAGTTAACGTTGGCAAGGAAATATTCTATTATTATGCTCTTGTATGCACGCACTGGTAGATAAAACAGACAGGGTACCGCGGTTTTCTTTCTCTTCTCAGCTGCGGTACCCCTGCTCTAATGTCTCTATGTTTCCAGATAACAGTGGAACGCCAAAGTAACTTTTGATTACGACGATACACGAAACTGACGTGCGTGCGATTATTTAGAGAACTTTCAGAGAACAGGTTCCGCGTAAAGTGTCTACGAAACGCTGTATTTCTCCAGCCGCGTCGTGCACGGCTTTCTTGTGGCGAGCGCGCGTTCCAGTATTAGTAGAGTTCGGCGCGTGGAAACAAAAATTCGCCGTCGTTGGAACGCTCGCGACCGCGTTGCGCTTTATTTATTCTAACGTGTGTCGTCTCGATGCAACAAACGGGTACACGGGGCGTCGCTGACGTCGGTAACAAAGTATAAAATCACGGGAATATTATCCGCGTGTCGCGCGCGAGGGGAAACCGGACGGGCGGTTCTTTAGGCATCTCTCGTCGGGTTTATGATTTGCGGGCGAGGACACGTACGGGAACGCGGGAGCTTCGTTGGCACCGTGTACCGCGGTCGATTGTCGTTCGATTATAAAATTCTCTGATCCACGGATGCGCACGTCCCGTCGGCTTCGCGGGAAACCAGAATGAAAACAAGAAATCGATACGACCTTATGCGAGCAAAGTCGCACGTGCGGAACGATAAATATATACACACTCTTGAAAATGTACGACGGATCACGCGCAGCGAGAGGACACGCTTTCGCGAAGATTCGCCTCGTTTCGTGCGATCGGAGATACGAGGAATTTTGTTCGAATATTTTACACGAACATCGAATCGAATACAGTTGTTCTTGGAGAGATATCGATATGGTCGTGGCCCAGAAGTATTCGTACTCTGCGTGTTTATCGCGAAATTTGGCTTAATTAAACGATAGGTGTTGACGTTTCCAAGTAAATTTTTTATTACGGTAATTTTTTTATTTTATTAAGAGGTGTGAAGTTTATTCGCGTAAATGTTTATAATGATACGTTTAATTGGGAACATCAAACCTAGCATTCGATTTAGACACGTACGGGGTACGCGTACTTACGAGACCGACCGACTGTATGTGTATCTTTAATTCGACATTAAAAGAACCGTTATTTCCAATCACAATATTTTTTTTCAGACAGCATATTTGTACGTGAAAATCGATTTAGAAATAAAAACTGATTTCGCTTGTGCGTACTCGAAGAAAGTAACAATAAAAATCGCTGAAAAAAAAATTGCATTTCCGTTGGAGACCTAAAAAAAAATATGTTCGTCGACTGTTTTGAAAAGTCAATGATATAATACAAAAAAAAAGAAAACACATTTCAATGTTCACTAGTATACAATCTACTAATATACAACTGGTTATACATCGTTTGCTCGTTGCGCTAAATATTCATTTAGACGGGGATTTTACCCGTCTCGTCCAAAAACGAAAAGGAACGATAAAAAAGACAGAAAAAAAAAAAAGAAGAAGAACAAACGCATTATATTCCGAACAATTTCTCGATCCGTGTGTCCTCGTTTGACAGCGAATTTTCTAGACGTCGTTTTCGAGGAGAATTTAAATGCAAACCGTCATCGTGGAAGACCGAGACACTTACCAGGATCAATGACGCCGCGTGTCCTCCTCTCGCTGTACGTGTACGAAAAAACAACGCGGGATGAAATATGCATGAGAGAGGTCGTAAGGTATAGGGGCGCGTACGTACATATTTATATAAATGTATACACACGTGTACATATGTATATTTACATATATATATATAAATAAATAAACATACTTATTTATTTATATTTACACGTGTAAATATATATACACATATATGTTCTATACGTATATACACATGTATATATATATATACGTATATATACACAGGTACAAATGTATGATCCATGAAAGTGTGAGACGTGGATGACAGTAACACGAGCGTAGCATACACAGCATCGCGCTTGTCGAGGAAAACGTCTCGCGGACGGATACACCTGATTCGAATACAGAAATCCTATATTTCATTTTTAGCGTCTATAATACATTAACCCCTGTATCGGAACAACTTACTGAGATCATTTTGTATTCGGTGATTTACTGATTCAGGATGAACGACCATCCCGTGTGCTTGGCCACCTAAACCATACCACAGGAAGTCATCGAGTTACTCGGTCGCGTATTTTCTATGCGTTTCGTATCTATCTATGGTCAAATTAATTCCATTTTGTATCGTTATCCGGTGCTGTACGAAATGACCTGATACTGACCCTAACTGGCGCCTCTTGGGCGGGATCTACCATATTTTGCGGCCACGCCCTAGCGTAATTTTTCGAGAGAAGATATTCGAGCATACATACGGAATCGAGCCAAACCTTTTCCTCGGCAACGGCGCGCCATGTAGACCAAATTCATAACCGCATACCGGACGCATGAATTGTGTAATGTGTGTCTAAAGTCCATCTGTGCGAGTAACGAGCGTGCATCCCTGGCGTCAGGACGACGCGTGCACGCACAGGGAGCGCGGATGCTACGTGTAGTTTTCTTTCTGTATATGTAACGTATCACAGACTTCACTTGGAACTGAACACTGACGGGAGGAGTTGCGCGCGGATCAGCGTGGCCCATCCCAGGAGATCTACTCTCGTTAGCGCCTTTCCGTCGACGACGAAACGGAGAGAGAGAGAGAGAGAGAGAGAGAGAGAGAGAGAGAGAGAGAGAGAAGAAAGACCTCGCGACACCGCGCGTTGATCGCAGGCTCGACGAAAGCGACGCTAGCGCGTTTCAGCGTCCCAGAACCCTTACAGAGATTCCATCCGCGCACAGTTTTCAACAATTTCGTCTCGAGATCTCCGACAGTTCGTTCACTGCGGTCGCCTCCTGTTTACCCAAGCGGTACCTTCTTCGTTCTGTCCGCCGTGATCCTCCGGCAGACGACCCTACGAGAGGTCGTGCTGCAGCCTACGTAGCATAAGATCCACCGCGATCCTGGCGTCCTCCACGGAGTCGTGCTCCGTTACTTGGATCTCTTTTCGCAGCACGGTTCTCGCCAGGGTCTTCAGACTGCTACGGAAAGGATAGCCGAGGAAGTGAGGAAACGCGACGCACGTGTCGATCACCGTCGTGTGGAGTATCCTAAGCGCCCTGAGATCGTTCTCCAACCCGTGGCCTATGAGTATGGTCTCGGCGTGAACGAAGCTGGTCAGGTCCTTCTGCACGTCCATGAGCATCTTCGTCGCCCTGGACAGATCCTTCGCGGTGATGCCGCTGAATCTGGTGTTGTGGTCGATCACCTCCGCGTCGGGTTTCACCAGGGTGTCGTAGACCACTTTCCCGTCCATGCCGACCACCGTGACCTTGGCGAGCTCCAGCCCTCGTCTCGTGAAGCACATTTCGCAGTCCAGCGCGTACACACCGTAGTTGCCGTCCTTCGGGACGGTTCTGGCGGGTCTGGTGCGAACGTAGCCCTCGAACGGGCCGTTGTACCCTGGCGCCAGGCCAGTCCACACGTGCATTCTGGCAGTGGTGCAGCCTCCGGCTGTCTCTCGGCTCCTGCAGCACTCCCACGTGTCTCCGTGCGAGCCATCCACCAGCCCGCTACGCAATTTGCCCCAATGGTAGACGCACCTCTCTTCGTGCACGTACTCGCCGTCTTCGCGGTTCACGTAGAAGCTCTTGAAGCACCTGGCGCACCTTCTCGCGACCACCACTAGCTCGTACGGGTCAGGCGTCGAGTCTCTTCTGGATTTCTCCTCGTAACTCGAAGACGAGGACGAAGACGGCGAGGACGACTCACCTATATCGGAGCTCTTATCGCTGTCCGACGAGCTCTCCTGCTCGAGGTCCGAGCTGTCCAGAGAGCTCCCGCTGCAGTTCCCGCTGTCAGCCTCGCTCTCCACCATCGTCCAGGAGCTGCTTCCGCTACCAGGGACGAATTCCCGCGCGTTAGCATCCAGATGATGATATCCCCTCGCTCTGTGGCCCATGGGATGCTGATGGTGGTTGATGATGACCGCGTAACCTGGAAAGTAGCTGCACTCCACAGGGTAACCCAGGTGAGCCAGTTGCTCCCCGGTCAAAGTATATCTGCGGAGCAGGGATGCCAGCGCCGCGTCGCTGAGATGGTGGAGTTCCTTCCTCTGGCTGCTGAGGCATATAACGCGGGATTTTCTGGAGCTGTTGTTCGCTCCGCTGCCGTTTACGCTGTTGTTCTTGCTCTCCTCGCGGTGGGAATCGTTCTGCGACTGATGATTCCTCCTGGACGCGTTCCGTCCAGTCCCGGCTGGTATTCCGTTGGGGTCCGAACTTCTCGCGGAACTGTTCTGATAGTGCTGCGGCCGACAGAGGTGGTGTCGACGATGCCGTTGTTGCTGTTGCGCGGGTTGCTCGTCCTCGTGCTCGTCGTCGCGCAACTCGCGACGCTGGTCCCGCGGTCCCCTGGTGCGGTTCTTCCGTTGTCTCCTACTCAGGATGGCGCGATCCTCCTTCGTCGACGGCGCCGTCGATGCCGCGGACGTCGTCCCGGTCCCGGCGTTAGACGTCGACGACGCCGCTGACGGCGACTTGTTCTTGCTCCCAGGCGTCTTCGACGGCGGTGGCTCGCGGTTCACCTTGCACCCGTACCGATCGGTCTCCCCAGGGTCCAGGACCTCCTCTTCCGGCCGCAGGCCGCAATCTTTATGTCACATACAAAAACATATATGCGTCAGTTCATCGTCCGGCAGCGAGACTTACAATCGACGGCCTACTGTTATTACTGTTAGGATTTCGTCACACACCACGCGCATGCAACTCTAAGAATCTCTTTCCTCTCGACTATTTTCTTAAGGTGTCGCGGAGATCTGTATTAGGATGAAAGAGGATGTAAAAACGAGGATGAAAGATGTTCGGCAAGTTTCTTTTCTAAGGGACGCGATGCGAGACAAAAATTAGTTCGGAGTAGAAAGTTTGAGGAGAGGAGGGAGAATGATATCGCGAGAAATTTACGGGATAGACTTTAATGCGCCAAAAAATTCCCGGTTGCATCGATCGCGGAGCCGTTCTTGACCCAGAGACCGCTATATTTCTACCTTGAACCGATTACTTACGAGACGCGAGTGACTCTACACGCTTCCAAGGGGATTTCCCCTGATGAAGAAAACTTCTACGTTCCCTTTTTAAAACGAGCTTTTACGTAGGGATACAGCGTGAAACTTTTACAACAAATATCCTTCCTTCTTGATTAGTATCCAAAAGCACTCAAATATTGTACAATCATTACCTAAGGAATTGCAAACTTCATCGATATGCAAAAGCTCATTCGCATAACGATGGACCCATTGGGAAAGTCCACTTGTTCGTTTCATTGTCAACTGAGAAGGGACCATTGGTCTCACGAGGACTGCACAAACGGCCTGGTTTCGATGCGGATGAAACTTTGTACAGTTTTAGAACATTCAAAAGTAACGTATACGTATTTTGTTTATCTTTCGTGACTTGAACTTAAGGGGTAAAAGCACCCTCTTAACTTTCACCCTCCAAGTGCTAATTCGAAAACAGTCAGAATCAGAAGATAAAAGTTACAACTAGACTACGGATTTTTACGAATTCATAAAAGTACAATAATATAGAAGAACACGTATAAAATATACATAATGTGTGTCGAATATATTCTACAATTATTGTAATATTATTGTTATTTTATTTTGCATATGTGTAAATATACCTTTTGGTTATTATTGTTATTTTATTTTGCATACGTGTATATATGCAAATATACCTTTTGGTTATTTACGTCATAAACGCATAAAATCCACAGTTTAGTTATAACAATTTTTGCAATTCGTCAAAAATTATGAATATTATTCTTGTAACATTTTTCTTCTATCTCTAGACATTTCTGAATCACCGCGTTAAATTTGTTAAATTTTTGGAGTATCGTATCGCTCGGTTTGTTATATCTTGATATTCGATAAATCCACGCGGTTTCATCCACATCGAAGTTTGCAGTAAAAAAAAAAGAAAAAAGAAAAAAAAACTTTATTCCAGTAAAAAAAGGAAACGATTCGTTTCTCGAAATCGATGGATAAGATGGTGGAACATGGTCGAAGCAAGGAGATATATAAAACAAGAGAATTCGATTAATTACTGAAACAAAAGCGCACGAGGATGAAGATCGTTGCGAGCGCTGCTCGGTTAATTGCTCGAAAAAACACGAAAGTGAAAGCTTGCCACGGACGTATGAATTAACGTGTATGAATTTTTGTCTGCACATAAGATTCATAATGTCAACGCATTATCCGCTTCGTAGGCACGAGAAACGTCTGCTTTCTAAATTTACAGTTACAGAAAAGAAAAGAAAAGAAAAGAAAAGAAAAGAAAAAGAAAAAAGGAGACACCGATTAGAGGAATACTCGAGCCTCAAAATCACAATAAGAAAAACCGTTTTACAGATTTTTTCGTACATATTTACGAATAAATCGGTAAATATTTTCTGCGTATTCTGAGCTCCGGTTTATCGGAAAATTCCGAAAGTTGACTCTTTAAATATATTTATTTTAAAGCCTCCCTCCCGCCCCTCAGAAACACTTGAGCCGATCGCACGCGGCGCAAACGATTTGACATTGGTGTTGCAAACCGTTCGCGCTCCTTGTTTTACTTACTCCGCTATCTTTGTTGTACCTAGATCCACGGTCGCGTGCAACTAATTTCAAAGCGGTTTGAAACTGATCGGTTGCGCCCTGTGCGATCGGCCTTATGTGTAATAATAATAATAATAATAATAATAATCGAGGGGACAATAAAAGTGAACCATTTATCGCTCCTTCTTTCTTCTGTTTACACACAACTTTCGCCAAACGCGTCACGGAAAGGGTCGCTTTCTTTTCTCTCCGGTTCGTCTGTTCGCAATCAAATATACACGTTCGTCGTCCGAAAAACGTGTTGCACTCTGTATATAGCCCGAAACGACAGACGATTTCAAGGACCGTAAAGCTTGTATTCCGAAGTGATTCCTCGCGCGGTTGTCGCACCGACGGTCATCGGGTGTATCGTTCTTTTTTTCCCATCCGAGCGGAATTATTTTTACGACGCGACGGTGGATGGAACTTTCACGGGGAAAGTTTCAACCGCGAGATCTTGACGACCACGAAGGAAAATATTTAGCTTGATTTCAATTACCATTCCCGTCGCGCAGAGCTTCGAATATACGATCGTTTAAAAGAAGATATTACAACAATTTCACAACAACCGCACTTTCTGCTACGCTCGTATTTATTTTACTTTTTCCTCGAGACCGCCAGAGTATTCCCCGTCGTTGCGGTGCACTTCCGCGATCGATTAAGATGACGTGCCACGTGGATGGGAAACAATCTTCGCAATTACGTCAGAAGTACACGCGCGCGCCACCGGAGTATGCGTTAAATGCAATCTTCCCGGATAATCGCGCAGATTATTTTAAATCGTGTCCTCGATATAAATACTCGTATTAATCTCTCAATTTATCATTCGAACGAGTAACTAACAATGACGTATTTAAGTTTTGTAATTCATTTCACACGCGAGATATGGCGCATTTTTTTAAACGATATTTATTCAGTTCGCGAGGACGATATCTCAAAAGCTAATTGACCAATCGCTTTCAAACTCTATATACGATTACTTTACTCGACTATCTAGAGTATGAACTCAAAAGTTTGAATGAAATTATCGTGGAAAGTATGTTTGTTCTTGTAGAAAAAGGAATTGTGAAAATTGATACTTATTCTTTAAGCACTTGCAAAAAAAATCAATTTCGAATCTACTTTAAAAGATATCTTGAAATAAAGAAATTATTCTCAAAGTTAAAGAATCGATTAAATTTTCCTTTATAAAAAAGAAATCACAAAAATTGATTCTTTTATTTTACGAAAAATCAGAAGTTACGTTACGAATTATTCCCTTTAATAAATTGAGAATTTGTTGGTAAAAATCAACGACATTTCACAAAAGGTCAAATGACCCCTTATGGTAAGATAGATATATGCTATATAGATATATAGACATATAAAATGTTAGAAACGTTACGATTTAAACAAATGTCAGTGGTTCAATTTCTGAGATACGAGATAATAGTAATCGTCATTGTGAGAAATCGAAAAATAATCCAAAGTTAACGACTAATAATATTAATTATTTATCCGCCACTATTGATTATTCTACATCGAAGATGCATTAGTTAAAATAATTACTGAAAAATCTCGCGATTAAAATAAATTCAAGGATATTATTAAAAAATATTGAAATTTCAAAATGATCGCAATTAAATTCCCTGATAAAAACCGGTAGGTTTAGTGTTAATTGCGTGGAGAAAGATGATTTACCTCGTCCCTGTCGCGAGTCCATAGCGTTCGGTTAAGAATTTCTTCTGCGACGAAACGAAGTTAATCGGTCACCGATGGTCTTGTTTCTCGGTCGGTCAGAGGGAAACAGAGGTCGGCAATGTCGATACGTCGCGCGTACTCGCTCGAGGCACGCATAAGAAAGGACGGGAACAAAGAGAACACGGAGAAGATATCTCACGTACACACGTGCGCGAAGGGAAACGAAAGAAGGGACAGGCAAGAACAGCCGGACGCGGGAATCTCGTACATGTGACTCGGATAACGGAATACGGTATCCCCGTTCACAGGAATGACCGGCTTCGATATGTACCGTTGCGTCATTTAATGAAATCATCCGCCGCCGCGTTCCTCCGTCGGCTCTCTTCGAGGAAATCCCTGGCCTCTGCGAGAAGTCTGACTAACGACTCAGCGAGACCAGGCGCGACCGGAAAAAACGTGGTCGTGAAAATGCGCAGACGTCGGGCAAAACCCTTATCTGGATCAGGATTTCCACTCACGAATAAAACGACAAAACAACTTTATCTACTGTTGTCGTCGAGCGAAGATTAGAACTTTAAATACGGACCGAACGAAATATTTGTCCTGTTTTCCATTCGAAACGAGAATATTAGGTGTAGGAATTAATAATTCTGTTCTTTCGCGCTCGTACATTTGTAGTTCTAATTTAACGCGTTGATTGCCACGTCGACGCTTTCCATTGGAGAACGAAAGAAATGAATTCTGAATGTCAAGCATCTATGAAAATAAATTTAAATGAAATTCATGAATTTCGATGAAGTTGCAGAAATAAATACCACGATAAATGTTCGATTACGTAGTCTCGAGTATAGAAAAGTGTAGAAAATATTCGTGCACTTGGATAATTACTCGTTAATTTTCGAAATTATTATTCGTGCGTTTCACGCGAATAGTAATCGACCGCGAGATAGCGAATCTAAAAATAGAAATAGAGGAAGGAAAATCTCGAGGAAACGAACGATGTGAATCGAAGTCGACGAGAGATGCGGAGATTAAGAGAGAGCTGCGAAACGATCGAATGCAATTTTTCGCGATTCTCGCTGTGCCGCAGAATGAAATTACTATTTTTTGTGATATGAAAATCTACTGGAAAAAATTACATTTTCCCATGTTTTTCATTTGGAATAAGATAACTTTACCAGAAGACCAAATAACAAAGATACTTTAATGCTACTCGATAAAAGAAATCAAATATTAATAAAAGTATTAAATACTAATATAGTAGTAGTACGTTATAAAATAGCATTACGTTTCGCATTTGTTTTAGGATATTTTTTTGGTAAACGGCGACAGTAGT